CAATAAGATTGAAGTGCTCACTGGAGAGGAAGTTATGCTAAAAATGGGGAATTTTGGGACCAGCAGTTAGCGTAATGGCTATGTCGCTGGACTCCCATGTAGTTGACAGCGGTTCGAGTCCCAGACCCAGCTGCTTAAACTCATACCAGACGCATGCCCAAGATCCCGAGAGGAGAATGGAAAAGAAGGGATTGCTGCGTGGCCACCCCCTCCCGGGGGGGTGATTTCTCGCTTTCTGTCTCTCTCTGTCTCTCTGGCGAGCACACGCGCCCTATAGCAAAAACCTCTCCAAAAAAAGAAAAAAAAAAAAAAAATGGGGAATGCGGTCCCTGAAAAAGAATAGTAAATGTGGGCCTCATTCTCAGTGATTAATATTTACTAATCAATAACATGCCATTTCAAGTAGAATTAGGGGAAAAAATAACTTCCACAAGATGCATTAAACAATCAGGGGCCAGCCAGTGGCATGGTGACTAAGGCAACTGGAACCCAAGTGGCCAACCATATGGATCAAATCCTGGCCCCGGCGACTAGAAAGACACGCTGGGCTCATGTGCGTGCCTGCCCAAAACGAAGAAATAGAGGAGGGATTACAACCTGACCATTCCCCGTGGAGAGTAAAGGGGCAGTGCTTTCTCACTTTCTCTCTCCAGTGAGATCACACGCCCTCTGACAAAATTACCCCCCAAAATTAAAATGTATGGCAACTAAATACAAACCAACCCACACCCTAATCTCCCCTTCGTTAGTTCTAATCAGAACCATAGTACTTGTCCTCTTACAATTTCCCAGTCGGGCTATATCAATGTTCTGTAGAAACCTGCAGCTACATTTTTTAGACAGAGAAATTCCTATTTCAGCTTTGTATGATATTTAATCCCTTTCTCAAGGAAGAGAATATGGAAAAATATTTGTAGTTGTTCACATTCTGATTACTGCTGTTCATTCCTTTATGCAAGTTTCTTGTTACTATGATTCTACATTATTTATGAAAACAAATTCTGGTTCTTTTTTTGTTTGTTTGGAGAGGTTTTTGTTATAGGGTGCGAGCCCTCGCCAGAGAGACTGAAGGCGATAAATCACCCCCCTTCAGGGGGGATGGTCACGCCGCAATCCCTTCTCCTCCATTCTCCTCTCGGGATCTTGGGCACGCACGCACACGCGCCCGGCGTGAGTTTTAAGCCACCGGGTCCGGGACGTGAACCGCGGTCGACTACGTGGGAGTCCAGCGACATAGCCATTACGCCAACTGCTGGTTCCCTAATTTAGGTTCTTAAACTCAAACTTCCCAATACATTTCATGAACAAGCTCCTAACATTTTATAGAGGAAGCAGTGATAAAAAAAGAAAATACAATGATATCTAAAAGTGATGTTCAAAACTATCATTCTGAATTCTTTGTATTTGTATTAATGAAATTAATTAATAAAAACCACTCACTTCCAATCAGAGCTAAAGCAATACACATCCCTGTTGCTCTAGGAAACCAGTTGTTCTCCTCTAGAAACTGGCTACATTTAAGATTTTTCAGTGGTTGATGCTAACAGCTGCCAACACTACGAAATGAGCTGACTAGGTCCTTTACTTTTTTTTTTTAAGGGATTTTTTGCTATAGGGCACGATTGCTCACCAGAGAAACAGAGAGAAAATGAGAATCACCGCAATCCCTTCTCCATTCTCCTCCCAGGTTTTTGGGCAGGTATGCACACACACCCGCCCGGAGTGAGTTTCAAGGCACCGGTCCGGAATGTTCAGAATAGGAACAGGGATCGGTAGTCAGGTAGGAGTCCCGCGCGCCTTTAACAACCACGCCACCTGCTGGTCCCAGGTCCCTTACTTTTACACTGTTCTTTCAGACTGTTTGACAAGAAAAGGAGACGGGATTAATGCTAAAGCTTAAAATTTTCCATTATTTCCAGAAAATTTACTTAAAAATGGAAAGCATAAGATATAGGTCAAAACTATACTGCTATTTTATTAACCTATGTTGCTTTGCTACCTATCTCAAATTACTTTCAAGTCTTCCCCACAAAAGTCCCTCACTGATTCCCATCAAGTGCCTATTTAACCAAGGCTTACTGAGTGAGCCTCGGTATGTACCCAGACACTAAGGCAGGTGCTAAAAAGAGACAGAGATAAAGGCAGTATCTACACCCAAGCAGCTCACAGTCCAGAGGGAAAGACAAAAATAGACAGACAATTTTAAGACGGTATAGTAAATACATTATTTAAACTACCTTATATGAGCTTCTCCCAGCAAGTTGTGGCTTTCCAAGCCACACACCTGAAAATTCTCAGGAAGAAATTTTAGTGGTAATCAAAGGAAGTTTGAAACAATTCTAGCAAGTTTAAGAAATTAGAGCAACAATGTCATGCATATGGAAAGATGCCTTCTCTTTTTAAGAGAGATTTTTGCTATAGGGTGCATGAGCTCGCCCGAGAGATAGAGACAGAAAACGAGAAATCACTTCCTGGGGGGATAGCCTTGCTGCAATTCCTTCTCCTCCATTCTTCTCTCAGGATTTTGGGAAGGTATGCACACACACTAGCCTGGCGTAGGTTTAAGCTGCCACCGGGTCCAGGACTTGAACCACAAGTCCCCACAGTCAAATGCATGGGAGTCCAGTGATGTAACCATTACACCATCTGCTGGTCAAGGAAAGATGTCTTTTCTAAGGATTATAATATCCATTCTAGCATATCCCATTCCCCTTGTACTCTAAGGCAAACGGACCTTTTATGTAGATTATCTGAACATGGGAAGTGGGACAGAGTTGGAAATCTAAATACAGACCCCCACGCAAGATGAAACACTCCTGCCTTTAAGCAAGGGCTCATTTTAGTTCTGGTTGTTGTTCCGTTTTTCTCTGGAGAATGACAGTGTATTAGTGGTTAAATCCATGGACTTTGTAGTTAGCCAGGCCAGGGTTAATCTGGGCCTCAACTATTTACAGACAGTGAGAATTTCAGCAAACCTCAGCTTCTCTGAAGCTCAAATTCCTTAAAAAAAAAAAAAAAAAAAAAATGTGGGAAATTCAGTAAACAGTTTATGCCAAATGCTTAGCACACAGTAAAAGAAAATAGCAGAGGCCAGGGGGCCGGAGGCCTGGCACTTACTGGCCTGGCACTTACTAACCGGGGACCATCAGGTACCAAAATAGAAAGCAATCAAATTATACAAAGCTAAATCATTTTGTTATTCTAACTGATAGTGCTCTATGCTTTATTTGTATCTATCCTATCTCACCAATCCCTAGAGAACAACTACTTCATAAACCTAAGGTTGGACTGTAATTACTGGAACGTTTCTTTTTAAAGATCTCTAATAGTCTCAATTTTACACCAGCTAAGAGAACATGTTCTAGGTCTTCTGTCTACATTAGAACCCTAACAAAGGAACTAGCATTCTTACCACCAAGAAGAGACCTCCACCTGGAACACAAACCATCACCTGATTCACATAACAAAGAAACCAACAGGACATAGGCAAACAAAAAGAAAAATCTGCACAATTCATGCTGACTTATCATTTCTTACCTCAAAACCCAATGAGGACCAAAACAGAAAAATGAATAAAAATAAAAGAATCCGTTATCCACACTGCTTTCTTCCTAAAGAACCAGAGGAGGTGAGGTAACAGACCAATCTTCCATCTTAACACCCCAAGGCTCTATACTACACACCAGTCAAAACAATGCCTTAGTTCGTGGAAACAGTCCCGGACACTAGTTAACCAGGACGCTCGCTGCAGTTACACAAAGCCTAGTATTTAAGGCCAGACCCAAATCACTACCACTCAGTCATCCAGAACCTATTTTCAAACTGCCTTTGTACTCTTCCTTCAGATTCCCTCATCCCTCCCCCTAAAGGTTGAGTGGGAAACCGACACTCTGGCACCAACATGACCAACCCTCCAAAGAGCCACAAGAAACCTCCCTAGTCTGTAGTCAAGACAGAGGGAAAATCAGAAAGAAAAATTTGAAAAATATAATATTACGAAAGAAGTACAGCCCAACAGACTGTAGTCATTTTTCTTTTCTTTTCAAATAAATTATTGTAACTATGAGATCCAGACATCAAAAATTTCCTGTAGCCCTTGCCTAGATTATATTAAAAGAGGAACAAAGTTGTTTCCTCCTTAAGCCACAACCTCAAAAGGATGAAATCATCTTTCAAGAAATACCCTCATTCTAGAGAAGGAATTCAAGGAAGTGTTCTAGTCTGAAAAGAATGGGGGGGGGGGGGGCGCAGACAAGGAGCAAAATCAGAGGGTTATTAAAGATACACACCACTTTAAAGCTAGTGAGCAGTATACACATTATATGGCCCACCCTGTTACAACTAGGTCAGTGTATCTATTTCAGCTGTAATTTTCAGGGTGATTTGCATTTTCAAAAGGAGAAAGAACACCCCGGTGTTCCGCTGATGAGTTGGCTACATAATTACCTGGAATCAGTACTTTTGCAAGAATGTATTTACATAAACAAATAGAAATCTTAAAATAAGATTAAATGTAAGATATGAAAGCAGAGTCATGGGTCTTCAGCTCTGACAGATTTCCAATTTCATGGTAAATTAACCAAACAAAAAAAAAGCCGCTCCAAAAAGCAACTTTTAGGTTGGCTTAGAAATAAAAATGTTCCTGTTTTCTCAAATACATTTAAACACTAAAGTTCACAAACACGGTCAGAGCCGACCCTTATTCAACCCATAGCCCTTTCAGAGAGCCCAAAGCTGAAAATACTTTCAGGTGTGTTGCCACTTTCCTCAGGTGAAATAAGAAGCGTGATTAGACTTTCCTTATCCCTTTAAGCACATAAATCAAACCTTATCTTATTTGAAGATTTAACACACAACACCTCCACAAATCTTTACCATCAAAGGTATTTTTAGGAGGAGGAAGGGGGCGGCAATTCAGTTAACATGGATCCATTTGTTTCCTTTTATAAGGCAAAGCAGGGAAGCTAGGTCTAACAGAAGAAGGCTCCCACCCACCGCACCTGGAAAAGTAAGAGGGCTCCACCCAGGAACAGCAGGACTGAAACCGATCTGGGCCGTTCAAACTCTCTGGGGGAAAAAACAATACCATGTAAGCTGCAAAGCTCCCTGTGACTTTCCACTTCCACGAACCCAAAGAAAAAAGGAAAAAAATAAAAGTTTTGAAACACATGAGGAACCATCTGTATAATTAGCTTCCAACCCGGACAAATTCCTTTCCCAACCCACACGCAACATGCCATGAAACCAACTTTTAATTTGGGCTCTCAAAACAGAAGTATGTTAAGCTTAATGCAGAAAAATAGAAAATCAAGGAACATACCAAAAGGTAAATAGACACAACTGCTCTTACCCCTCTGGATCTATTTAGCTCCCTATTAAGAAACCGACAAGTTTGTTTCCAGGTCTTGTAAATGGTACCTTTATTTAAAAGTATAAAATACCAAAATTTCCCCCCAAAGCATTGAAGGTAGAAAGAAAAAAGAGTAATTGCTTAAAAGTCACCCATCATCATATAGACTCTCTCCTGTTTTCAAAGTCCCTCTGGTTACCATAAGACAAAAATTCAACTTGCTTATCCCCCTTTGCCCGTCTGTACACACATTTATTTTAAAAAGGCACACACCTCAAATGTGGACTTCTAAAAGCCAGTCCTTTAAGAAAGAAACCAAGTCTTCGCCAATGTGGTGAGAAAGACAAATCCAGCAAGGCAGCAGATTTCTCGTCACCTCTTCCTCCTTCCAGGATCTTTCCTGCTCTTCTTTCTCTCCCTTTCTCTTTCGCTCGTTCGCTCGCTCGCTCGCTCTCTCTCTCGCTTTTTTTTTTTTTTTTTTTCCCTCAGATCCAACACCTAAAATGGAAGTTGCACCCAGCCAAAGGCAAGGGAGCCTGGGTGGTGACAAACTGATCTGGCAAGCCCTACCCCCTAGCTTTCCTAAGTGATGTCAGCCCCTGCGAGCTTCCAATAGGAGCCAGGCATAAATCAGGGAGCTGACCTTATCCAATAGGAAACTTTATTATAGGAAATCAAAAAAAAAAAAAAAAAGGGGGGGGATGAGAGGAGGAGAGAAAGAGACAGAGGGAAGTTTATATACATTTTTTTATTTGAAGCGGAGGCTGTACAATCGCTGAGAGATTACTGCAGAGCTGGGGGCAACAGTGGGGGCAAGGAGGGAACAGGGGCTTTTTAGAATTGCACACCTAAATCTCAATTCTCAGATGGAGCGGTGGGGAGAGTTCTTGGTCCCTTTCCCTTCCTGTCCAGGTAGGGAAACAGAAAAGAGCTCATTTTATTTGCTCGCTGCTGTTTGGTTTGTTGCTTTCTACCTCAAACCATTTTCCCAAAGGAACACAGGAAGGGAAGGAGAGAGAAACCCTAGAACGAGACTACTGTGTGTTGATTGGGATGGTAGGGGACATCTGAGGTAAACTCTCAATTCCATTCTTCTGTTTTAATTGCATTAGAGCTAATTAGAACAAATATAAATAAGGATCAGGTTTGTTAACAGCTTTTAGTCTCTATGGTCTGAACTAGAATGAAGCACAGTTCACTGGGCTATTGAAGAAAATCACTGACTTCCCATTTGTCTCCCTGTCAAAACACTGTGGGCTTGGGACCAGCAGATGGCATAATGGCTATGTCGCTGGACTCCCACATAGTCTACCAGGGTTCGAGTCAGACCCAGGGGCTTAAAACTCACACTGGACGCATGTGCCTGCATGCCAGAAATCCCGAGAGGAGAATGGAGGAGAAGGGGTTGCGGTGTGGCCACCCCCCCAGGGGGGTGGATTTCTCACTTTCTGTCTATCTGCAGTGAGCACACACTCCCTATAGCAAAAAAACTCTCATATATATATATATATATGGAATCAGCAGTTAGCCAAATCGCTGGACTCCCACGTAGTCGAACGTGGTTCGCATCCCGGACTCTGTGGCTTAAAACTCACGCTGGGCGCGTGTGCGTGCGTGCCCAAGATCCCAAGAGGAGAATGGAGGAGAAGGGATTGTGGCGTGACCATCCCCCCTGGGGGGTGATTTCTCGCTTTCTGTCTCTCTGTCTCTGTCTGGCAAGCGCACGCGCCCTATAGCGAAAATCTCTCCAAAAAAAAAAAGTGAACAGATCACAATCAATATATATATATATAAATACACACACACACACACACACACACTGTGGACTTTAGAGGAAGAGTAAATGGAATCCAATAAGCAAGCAATATTAGAAGAGATAACTGGGGACCAGCAGTTGGTGTAATGGCTATGTCGCTGGACTCCCATGTAGTCGACCACGGTTTGAGTCCCGGACCCAGTGGTTTTAACTCACGACGGGCATATGTGCATGTGTGCCCAAGATCCCAAGAGGAGAATGGAGGAGAAGGGATTGTGGTGATTTCTCGCTTTCTGTCTCTCTCTGTCTCTGTCTTTCTGACGAGCACATGTGCCCTATAGCAAAAACCTCTCCAAAAATAAAAATAAAAAAGAAGAGATAACTGTCTGGGTAAGAGAAAATAAGCTATATCAAGGAAATCCCATTTCTTTGTGAACTTCTAATTTAAGATTACCTAATTCATACATTTTCTCCTTATACTTGACCTAAATAAAAGATAATATCAAAATATATATATAAATTTTGTTTCTGAGTTAAGAACTATTTTTAGTCTGTTTTTAGACATAGACCATGAAGGACAGATGCTGGATTTATTTTTCCCATCCTTAACCAAATAGTATTTTCTGTTATTCACTGATTCCTAAATGATGATGATAATGAACTGAAGATTTTTTTCTTTTTTTTTATCTTTTTTATTTTTTTTTTTTAATATTTGCTAAAGGGAGAGTGTGCTTAGAGAAACCAAGAAGGAGATAAGAGAAAGATAAAAAAGCACCCCCCAGGAAGATTGCCACTTTACAATTCCTTCTTATCTATTCTCCCCTAGGATTCTAGGCACGTATGCACACACACCCACCATGATTTTTAAGTTGCCCGGATTTAAACTTCACAGTCAGCCATATAAGATCCACCACTTTTTTTATTTTTCATTTTTTCCAAAAGATTTTCGCTATAGAGCACGTGCAGTCGCCACAGAGACAGAAAGCAAGAAATCACCCCCTCAGAAGATATAGCCACACCACTGACCCTACTCCTCCATTCTCCTCTTGGGATTTTGGCCACACATGCAAACGCTTGTGGCATAAGTTTTAAGCTGCTGGGTCCAGGACTCAAACAACAATCAACTATGTGGGAGTCCAGTGACGTAACCATTATGTCATCTGCCAGTCCCTGAGATCCAGCAGTCTTAACGACCGTGCCACCAGCTGGCCCCTTTTTTCTTTTTTACTGAAAAATCTAAAACCTGTAGACTGTTGTCAAAAGAATTTTCATAACATGTTCATAATCTAATGGTTAAGAGTACAGGCTCTGGGGCCAGCGGGTGGCATAGTGGTTAAGGCACTAAACACTCCCACATGGCCGACTACGGTTTGAGTCCTGGACCTGGTGGCTTGCTTTCTCACTTTCCCTTTTGCTCGCTCTCTCTCTCTCTATGTCTCTCTCTGGTCACATTAAAATAAATGAATGAATAAATAACATAAAAAATTCTTACCAAAAAAAAAGAATACAGGTTTTGCAGTCAGACTGCCTGGCTTCAAATTCCACCTAGACTACCCTTACTGAAGTATATGTGACCTTAGCCAAATTTTATAATATCCCTGAGCCACAATTTCCTTAACTATAAAATGGGGATAATAACCATATCTCTCATGAGACTGCTGTGACCATTAAAATATACATAAAGTTCTTAAAACAATGTATGGCATATAGTATAAACTAAGAATGTATTATTTTCAGTATCTACCCTGCCCTAAAACCTTCAGTGACTCACAACTGCCCAATAACAGAAACCAATGGTGTAAAGTGAGAGGAAGCACTTTAAGCTCATTACCTCTAACTTCGAAAAGGCCACGATGGAAATAGCATTACCACCATTTTATAATCAAGAAAATTAAGGTTCAGCAAGGTGAAGAAACTTGGCCTGAACTCATGTGGCTATGAGGTGTCTGACTCCAAAGCCCATGCTCTTCCCATCATCTTGTACTGTGTCAGAATAAAGGACACATTATTCTTCTGCTTTCCAGGTACCAGATTTATTAATTCAATACATGTGCCCTTTTAATCAAGTTACACTAGTCATTATTCACCTCCTCATATTTGCTCTATAGTCTCATAAATCCTCATGTTCATTCTATGGTGGCCAAAAAGGACTTTTCTAAGAAGTGCCAGAAGACCAAACAGTCATTACAACACTCCTCTGATGAGTTTTAAGCTAAAATGGAAATGAATACACTATAACAAAGACATGAGCATCATTATTTAAAAATCACATCCACTACTGTAGCACATCTTCTCTCATCTATTCCCAGTCCTTCATAACAAGCTCAAAAGTCAAAGATGAGGGGCTAGTAAGTGGTGTGGAGGTTAAGGGCGCTGGATTCTCACATGGCCAACCACAGTTCAAGTCCCGGACCCAGCAGCTTGTTTTCTCACTCACCCCACCCTCTTCTCTCTCTCACTCGGTCCCTGTCTGGTCAAAATTAAAATAAAAAAATAAAGTTAAATAAAATAATTATTTTTTAAAATAATAAATAAAGTCAAAGATGTGGCCAACAGATGGTGTGGTGATTGAGGCACTGGACTCCCACATGGCTGACTATGGTTCAAGTCCTGGATCTGGCAGCTTGCTTTTTCACTTTCCCTTTGTCTCTCGCTGGTGAGTGCACATGCCCTATAGTAAATTTTAACAACAAAAATAATAATAATAAGTAAAATAAAATAATTCTAAAAAACAAAATATCAAACATGACTGACAAAGAAAAACAATCAGCAGAAGAAACGTTTATTGGGGACCAACAAATGGTGTAGTAGTTATGTAGATGGACTCCCTCATAGCCAACCGCAGTTCAAGTGCTTACTGGTTCTGGTGACTTGAAAATCACACTTTGTACATGTGCATGTGTGCCCAAAAGCCCAGGAAAAGAATGGAGGAGAAGGGATTTTGTTGTAGCTATCCCCCATGAGGGGCGATTTCTCACTTTCTCTCTTACCCTGTCTCTCTCTCTCTCTCTCCAGTGAGCACATGCATCCTAAGGCAAATCCTCTATAAAAAATTTTTTTTGTTGATTCACACATTTCTAGGTAAAAGCCATATTCCAGAATGTTACACAGTTTTCTAGAGATAGATTAGTCTTGTTTGTTTCTTTCACTGAACATCATGCAAGTATCTGTTTTCCTTTTTCATTTTCTTTTTTTTTTTTTTTTGAGGGAGGTTTTTGCTATAGGGCAAGTGCACTTGCCAGAGAGAGACAGAGAGACAGAAAGTGAGAAATCACACCCCAGGGGAGATGGCCACGCCACAATCCCTTCTCCTCCATTCTCCTCTCAAGATTTTGGACATGCAGGAACCAGCAGTTAGCGTAATGGCTATGTCGCTGGACTCCCACGTAGTCGACCGCTGTTCGCGTCCTGGACCCGGTGGCTTGTGGCGTAAACCTCCCGCCGGGCGCGTGTGCGTGCGTGCCCAAGATCCTGAGAGGAGAATGGAGGAGAAGGGATTGCGGCATGACCATCCCCCCTGGGGGGTGATTTCTCGCTTTCTGTCTCTATGTCTCTCTCTGTCTGTCTGGCGAGCGCACACGCCCTATAGGAAAAACCTCTCCAAAAAAAAAAAAGATGTTAAAATTTAAATTGATCTGAAATAGCTACCTACAAATAAAGCATTACTAGCTTTAATGCTCACAACTGAGAGAAAAACTGTTCACATCAGCTAACAGAAAATAAAGACTGGGTCAGCTGGTGGCATGGTGGTTGGGGTGGGCTGGATTCCACATGGCCAACTAAGCTGTTCAAGTTCCAGAC